TGTATAAGCACTAGGTTTCAAACAGCCAACTCATGCACTGAGTACAGGACCGGGTCCCACTGCCTGGATGCCTCCCAAACAGATCAAGCTAATCAACTGTCTCACTTATCCAGAGGACCTGATCCAGTTGGGAGCTCCTCAGCTATTGGTTCATAGTTCATGTGTTTCCATTCGTTTGGCTATTTGTCCCTGTGCTTTATCCAACATAGATCCCAACAATTCTCACTCATACAAACCCTCCTTTTTCTCACCAATTGGACTCCTGGAGCTCCACCTGGGGCCTGGCCATGGATATCTGCATCCGGTTCCCTCATTCATTGGATGGCGTTTCTAGCACGACAGTTAGGGTGTTTAGCCATCCTATCACCAGAGTAGGTCAGTTCAGGCTGTCTCTCGACCATTGCCAGTATTCTATTGTGGGGGTATCTGTGGATTTCTGTGGGCCTCTCTAGGACTTTGCTTCTTCCTATTCTCATGTGGTCTTCATTTATCATGGTCTTTTATTCCTTGTTCTCCCTCTCTGTTCTTACTCCAGCTGGGATCTCCCGCTCCCCTAAGCTCTCTTTTCCTCCACCCTTGCCCTTCATTAACCCCACTCACATCCATGTTGTTTCTCTTGTTATTTCTAATTTTTCCATTACAACCAAATAGAGCACAAGAAAATTATTTCAAATTTCCTATATTAATGTTTTTATTGTGTCCTAACATAAGTCAGTTTTAAAAGTTCCTTAGACTGCTGAGAAGAATGTATGTTCTACAGTGGAGGGGAGAAATGTTCTAGAAATGTCTGTTATGTCCATCTTGCTCTACAGTGTCATTTAATTGTGATGTTTCTTTGTTGTTGTTTTTTGTTGAGGGTAGGAAAACTGGATTTCCTGTGTATTGATGAAAGAGTGGAATTAATGCTAACCCTTATTATTGTGTTGAAATCTTCTGTGTGTTTACATCCAGTGGTGTTTTATGAAATTGTGTCTGCTGCTCTTTGATGCATATATTTTTAGAACACTAATACCTTCTAGATGTATTGTTCTCTTTTTTGTTTATTTTCTTTTTCTTTATTTTTGAGATTATAATTTAATTATAACATTTCTTCCTTTTCTTTCCTCCCTCCAAATCCTCCAACGTACTCCTACTCACCCTCTTTCAAGTTGATGGCTTTTTTATAGGAATTATTTTTTTAATGTATGTAAGTGTTTCCAACTTCACTACAAGTTGTTGTTCTCTTAACCAATATAGAATCACCTCCTGCCTCAGTAGATGTGAGTATGGCTACTCCTGCTTCCTAGCTCCATTTGCTTCTAATGAGTGGTCCATCCTTTTACTCAGGTGGTGTTTGCTTGGTCAGTGCTATGTAGATACAAGGCAGCAGATATTTGAACCATATTTTAAACCAAGCTTCTAGTCCATGTCTTTTCATTGGGGAATTAGAATCATCAATATTTGGAGTTATTGTTGAAGGTTATATATTGATTTCTGCCCTTTATTGGTTTTGTATTACTTGGTACTTTTCTAATCCGTGTTTGCTTCTCTATTGGAACATTGCAAGTGTTCTCTCCTATGGACATGGGACTAGGCTTGCCTTTCTTTTCACTGCATGTGACTCTTACAAAGGTCTTCTGTGACACCAGCTTTATGGTCATGGATCACTGTAGTTTGCAACTGTTCTGATAAGGTTCAAAAGCCATGCTTCTCTTCCAGCCTCTGTTGAAAAACCCACTCTTGTCACAGCTTTGCCTTTGCATGGGAATTGTTTGTGTTTTTAGCTTTCCCTATCCATCCTTTGCTCTGTACAGTATCCATCCTAACTGTAATATGACATGACCCAGGGAACTGATGTTGCTGTTGAGTTGCTGTCACATTCTAAATTCTTCCTGTATCAAAATGCTCACATCACCCTTAAATTAGAGAAATTTTCTTCTACAGTTTAATGAATGTGCTCTTTTGACTTTTTTATGTACCTCTCCTTCTATGCTTGTGATTCATAAATTTTGTTTTCTAATGATGTCCCAGAGTTCAGTCATGTTCTGTTTGTACTTTCTTACTATTTTTTCATAGTCAATGTTCTAATTCATGCATCTTGTCATCAAGTCTTCATATGGACTTTATCCATTCTGTCAAAAAGGCCTTGCACTGAGTTCTTCACTAAACTTAGTATTTCATTTCTAATACAAAAGGATGTATAATATATGACTATGAACTTTATTAAAACTAACTCTTTACTTCATTTGGAATTTGGGGCGATAGTTCTTAGCTGCTTTGTGCGTACTTCTGTGACACCTTGTTTTGAGTTCCCTTTACATTTTTCTGATCAAACAGACTTTCGGCTTTATTTAACTTTCTGTTATCATGTGTTTTTATTCTTCCACATGCCTCCTTGTTTTGCTGCATAATTCTTTATGAGCTAGATTTTCAGAATCTTCATAGTCCTTGAAAGTAAGGTGGGCAGCACTTTCTGTTGCAACTAAGGCTTCTCCCTTCATGATGGTGTCATGTCTTCATCTCTGATTTTCAAAATAACCTAACTCAGGATTACTTCTACAGCCAGCTAGAACACTGTCATTGATTCCTGGAAAATCTTCAGCCCCAGGACATATATATTCACAATGGCACACTCAGAGAGACCAGCGCTGGGTCTCTATGGACATTTTCTAGGCTTTCTTCTTCACCTAGCCTCATTGTTCTGCCCATATGTCCTTCTGTTTATAGAAAACTCTTCATTAATATTTGCTATCAAAATTTCCAATTGAAATTGATACTATATCATTTTTGTATGTAAGTGGCTATTTTAGTACTTACATAGGCTGTTATGAGGTTTAAGTGACTGGTTGCAATCACTTAGTAAAATACTGGGACACAATAAGCATGATTTTAAATATTTATGTCATTAATACAAGTAAATCTTTTCTCTGAAATGCCCCTTATCCTTCCTGAAAGAACCTTTAGTTCTTCCCAAATGAGTTTCTGGTTTCAGAGATCATTGACAATAGTGCTATAAAATTTAGAATTTCTAGCTTTTTCTCTGATCTAGTTTTACAGAAAAAAAAATATTTTCATCATCTTAGCTACCATTTTTCTTAATTTTTCTTTTTTTCAAAAAAAAAAAACAGCTAATGCTGAAATATTCTGAATAGGCTGTTTTTCTTCCCAGAGCAAAATGCCTAGAAACTTGTAGCTCTGAAGCTATTTTGTAGGCATCGCCTTCCCTTCTGATTAGACGTCTCCCAAATTAGCATGACATGGAAATTACAAGTCTTACCTTGTTGGAGTTCTCATCTTCCCTTACATCAGGAGGAATGGGTCTAGGAGCTGCCTAAATAAATCTTATATAAAATATTAAATGAGACAAACATGAGAAATAACAAAAAGAAAAAAATATATAGTCCAGACTTGGAGAGAGCAATTGAGTAAGTGGTATTTTAAAAATTTGTTTATCATAACCTGAGCAATTTTTTACCACATACCTGTACCCTGTCACCTGCTGCCTAGAGCATCATTTGAAATACAGCCTTAATATTGAAGCATATGCATGCTAATCCAATGGTTTAGATTTTTTAAAAAATGTAAAACATTTAGCCTTCCTCATATATGGTTTTGTTCAGTAAGGCAAAGGAGAATGTAACAATTTTTCTGATACTCAGATAGCAGCAATCAGATTTTTTGCAAGTTGGTTTTAGAAGCTCAGCAAGAACACAGCAGAAACAGTGTGAAAACTAACAGAAGCTCATGAGGCTCATTTGCACACACCCACACACTCAAAGTAAAAATATCATAAATTTGTAAAACTACAAGGGAAAAAAGGAAGAGGCTACATTTTATAAATCAAAGCATTTGGAAAAGAAACAAAATAACAGAACCTGTTCCACAGGATTAAAACTTCGTTCAATTCTAACAGGGCTTATAGTTCTCAGAATTGTACTCTGTGGAAGAGAGAGAGCTGAAATCCTCTTTGTTGTTATTGTTGTAAATCAGGGGAACCTGTTTTGTAACTACAGGATAACTCAAATGTTTTCCAACACAGGAGTAGATGATCATGTAGAGCCCCTTGTTACCCAGGTTCACAGACACCAGCTTTATTTTCCACCTAACACACTCCAAATACTTACACCAAGGACATACTGTATTTACGAACTATAATAGGCTAAATGTGTTTCTCCTCACAGATTCATTGATTCTTGCAATCCTCATCATCTGTTTGATGACCTGAGATGACAAAACTTCAGAGGAAGTGATTAGTTTATGAGGCTGGAGCTCCTGGAGGTGGGATTAGTGTCCCTATGGAGGATGGATACCCCAGAAACTCACCAGCACTCATCCCTATATTTGTCTATATTTGTCGCTACAGCAAGACAATAACCACCTATCACCTTGAAAGTCCTCATATGAAGATGACTATAGCGTCACTATGTTCTTCAACTTCTAGCATTTAGAACTCTAGGAAGTATATTCATATTGTTTGCTTAATCATTTGAACCATGGGAATTTTTTTTTATCACGCTATCTGACAAAGACAGATACATTGACTCAGGTCACTGCCTCTGGTCTTCCATATATTGGAAAAAGAAGGAAAATCCTCAAAATCTCATGCTTAGGACTTTTCAGAGATTAAATCCACCTACAAGGGAAACTGGTATCAATTTCTGCTTCCTGAGTCAGATAACTTATTCATATTTTAGAGATTAGAGGAAAAGCCTGGAAAAAGGAAACAGAAAAGTCTTGATTTACAGAAACCAACAAGATATGTGGAGGGAATTCACTTGCATGTGTTTTTTGGTTTTCCAAGGAGACTCAAAAATGTACTTGTATAAATAAATGAAGACCACTCAGCTTAAACTACAGATGTTAATTCTGTCCTTTCTATGGAAGACAAACCTGCTACTATCACTTTTATTCAGTCAACACAGGAAGGCAAGCAAAGCTTACCATGGAAGAGAAAAGGGCATGCCTTCCAGTCTGCTCTATCCTCTCTGACAAGAAAAAGGCCAACTTGTGATTGGTTTGAAAACAGGCTTGTGGTTTCTTAGTTTGTCTTAACTTTTTTGCTTGTTTTGTTTTTTCGGTTTTTCGAGACAGGGTTTCTCTCTGTAGTCCTGGCTTTCCTGAATTTTGCTCTGTAGACCAGGTTGATCTTGAGTTTACAGAGATCCAACTGCTTCTGCCTCACTATTGCTGGAAAAAAGGAGTGTGCTACACTGCCCAACGTTTAAAGGAGGATCAAGAGTGAAGTAGGCAATGGTTGTGGACTGACATTTTGCTGTTTAAGGATGAGTATGACAGAGGGGTGACTTGGCTTGCAGCATTTCTATCCTGTGTCAGAGCTGGGTTGTCAAAAGCCATTTGACCATTTTCTGTATGCTTTAATCTTAAAAGGAAACAAGTTGATCACTTTACAATGTAACACACTTTTCACAGTCCTAGTTCATTAAGACAGGACACATTTACTAAGACTTGTCACATTATCTCTGTTTCGGTATATAGAAAGATGAAAATTATCATACTCCAGTGTGTAACTTTAAGTACACACTTTTAAGTAGGAAACTGGCACTAATTCTTGAGACAAACCCATTAGATAACTTATCCTTCTTTTTCAGACTGTAGAAAAACAATCAGAAGGGACAGTAAAAGTGCTTACAAAACCAGTGGAATAAAAAGACATTAGCTTTATATTTTACATGTGTGGTGGTTTTGTCTACATCAATATATGCAGATCACATGCATGCAGTGCCCACAGAGGCCTTAGGATGGCGACAAATCCACTGGAACTGGAGTTATACAGAATTGTGACCAACCTTGTAGATGCTGGGAACAAAACTCTGCTCCTACCAAAGGGCAGTCAGTGACCTCAATTGCTAAGCTGTCTCTCCAGCCCCAACCAGTGGAGTTAATTAGAAGGAGAATAAAAAAAAAGCCAAAAAAAATCAGAGAGTCAAAGTCAATTATATATTGAAAATAAAACCTTCTTAGCTTGTCTGTAAGTCTGGTAATCCAAAAGAAGAGCATGTTTTCTAGGCATACTGAACAATAAAACATGGTTACTAGTGTGTAGAAACAATGATCAACATTTGTCTCTGAAAAGAAAATTGTGATTTATCATGAAGATGAGTCAACATAATAGCATCTAAAGCCAATGGGATTGGTTTAATTGAACAGATCAAAAACCTGATTCTGTACATATATGTGAATTGGGGCATATATGAGTATGTGTGTGTATGACTATGTCAGATTTTATAGAGAGAGACATCAATTTATATATAGATAGATATAAATTATAATATTGAAATTTTACTTAGGTCTATGTAGTCTTTTAGGTAAAGTTAGATTTTAGATTTTCGTCCTGTAAAGCTAAGCTATATTTACTAACAATACAGACACCTGTCCTCAATTCTTTCTTTATCCTGCTAAAATAACTGTTTCAGTTTTCTGATTTCTTCCCCTAATTTTTCTCAGGAAAAATATGTGAAATTCTACCTTTTTGAACTACAGAAACCTCACAGATGCTTCTGATTCTTTCTGTTTGCATTTTGTAATAAAATATTTTTTTTTTTTTTTTGGTTTTTCGAGACAGGGTTTCTCTGTGTAGCTTTGCGCCTTTCCTGGAACTCACTTGGTAGACCAGGCTGGCCTCGAACTCACAGAGATCCGCCTGCCTCTGCCTCCCGAGTGCTGGGACTAAAGGCGTGCGCCACCACCGCCCGGCCGGTAATAAAATATTATTGGATTTTTTTTGGTTTGTATGTTCTCTATTTAATCACATGCTTACTTTATGTTGTACAATTTCTTAGTATAACTTCTATTTACTCAGTGAAGGGCTTCAGATCAACAAAGCCACTGGAAATAGGTTGTACAATAAAACAAGGCTATTCCATCAGTTCTTCCATTATTAGATATCCATAAACCACCATGGATGTTTTTCAGGTTGATTCCTTAGATCTTAATTCTGTTCTTATGGCATCTTCTTCCCTAGAACTTTTCCTTCCCTTAAATTCTGTGTTTGATAGCATTGACCAACTTCATCCCATTCTAGATGTCAAGAGTATCGGTACAAAATTTCTTTCACTCTACCTGGAAAGAAACAGTCACTTATGTCCTTTAAGTAGCTCACAGAATGGTCTTCAAACCCCAGGGATGTTTTGCTTAAGGCCATAAGAACCAGAGTGCCACAGCTCCAGTATTTCGAAGTTGAAATCTTATTGCTTTGACACAAGCTACAGGTTCATACTCCAAGACTTAGAGTTTCAATACCCAGTAGCTTCTCATGCTCTTGTAGTGAGCAACTCAAATGTCAGGCCTCTGGATCTTTATACTTTGGTGGTGCTCTATCAAATTATTTTGACCACTGCTACATGTAGTTCTTGTAGTCTTGGCTCCTCACTTTGACTCTTCACAACCTTACATCATCAATAGTCTCAATTTCTTGGTCATCCCTTGACCATGCCTATGAACTATTAAGTTTGTTCCTCCTGGATATAGAAATTGTAGTTACTAAGCCTGAATGCCCTTGGCCTTTGTCTGTTTCTTGTGCAGCCAGGTCAATCTACTTTACTTAGTATAACAACTCTTTATATATGTCATCCTTGTATTGTTCTAGTTATCCCTGGCATTTCACCCATGTCCTCTTCTCTCTTCCTCTGTAGATCTTCCTGTTTTCCTCCCCTCCCTCATCTAAGTCTCCATCCCTTTTGATATTCAAAAGAGTGCTATACTCCAGCTCAGACAATAAAATGACTTTATTTTTGTTAATGCTCAGTTGTCTTTCAAGCTCACAAATGTCCCTGAGGGAGAACGTCGCAATCAGAGTGCTCTGGATTCTGGCACGGCATGCTTTTGCTTCTGGCAAAGACAAAAGATTTAATAAATAATGAAGAAACTACAAAAGAATATGTATTTCTCAGAACGATTCAGCTAATAGGTCTGATATTTTTATGTAAAGCACATATTGGCTTATGTATTAAATTCTTGATGTATGCTTAATACATTTGCAGTTCTTCTGGAATAATAATAGAATTGTAATGTGGGGTATTTGTGATGTGTGTGTATGTGTGTATTTGTATGCATGTATGTGTGTGTATTTGTGTGTGTCTATATGTGCGTGTTTCTGTTGAACAGCACTCAGTTTTTAGTGTCTGGTTGATTGAATTAGTGAATACCTAGAGTATTCGTGAGATGTATTTTGTGGTGTATTTATAAGTATGTTTACATAGAAGTTTAGCAGAAGGGTAAAACCGTACTACTAAGGTGGGTGGTACCATGCTCTAAACTGGAGTCTTATATTGAATAAACAGAAAAGAGGAGAAAACCTTCTGAGTATCAGCAATCATCTTCCTTAACTTTCTCACTAGGGGCACAATGCCAACCAACCATTTCAAACTCCCAAAGGATGTCTTCCCCACCAATTTTTATGCCCTACAACTTGCAGGCCAATAACAAATAAATTGAGATAATGGTAGGGAGAGGAAGGAAGGAGGAGGAGAGAAGGAGATGGGGGAAAGGAAGCAATTTGGTACAAACAAGACACACAAGACAAATGATGTATAAGAAGATACTGTTCAAATAAATGTCATAATTGTATTATCAACACACAGAAACTTAAATTATTCCTAA